AAATATATAACATGAATATGCACATAATTTAGCCCTTAAAATGTCATTTACAAAATTATTAGCATCTGCTTGGGAAAAATAAGTCTTTTCAATTAATATTTTTTTCTGAAAATTTTCTTCTACCTAACATTAGTATCTGTTTCTGTTTGATTTCAGGGTTTATTTATACATGTGGCGGAACTTTAAAAGGACTTAATGGCACTATAGAAAGCCCTGGTTTTCCATATGGATATCCAAATGGTGCAAACTGTACATGGGTAATAATAGCAGAAGAAGGAAATAGAATACAAATTGTGTTTCAGTCATTTGCACTAGAAGAAGAATATGACTACTTGTCCTTATATGACGGACACCCGCACCCTGCAAACTTCAGGACAAGGTGAGTGTATTTTGCATGGAGAAAGGAAGGAAAATATTTTGTGTATAAGACTAAGTTACTTTTCAAATAATCTTTTACACCTGGTGCAGGTAAAAGATTTAACTGACTACCTGAATGGCACTCATTTGAAAAAATATAGAATTTCATGAGCCAATTATTTTCTTTCTTTTTTTTTTTTTTTTTTTTTGGCATAACCAGGGATTGAACTCAGGTCCCTACACTTGCTAGGAAGTGCTTATTCTTCTGAGTCATCTCCCCAGCCAAGGCAATTATTTTCATACCTCTGACTTCTCACACCAGAATACTACTACTACTATCTCTCAAAAAGTGAATACATATTTAATTGTGATCTTTTTAGGTAGCACAAAAGGAATTTTTTACTGTAAAGCAATGATCTCTAAGCTCCATCATTACAGTATAGGCAGAACTTCCGGTAAGTGAAAGTGTACTATAAACAATCCATTTTAGGGACATATACTTGATTTTAATGTATAAAAAATGCAACACATCTTAAATTCAATTTGTATGATAATGGAATATATTACTTCTTCTTAATATCTGAAAAGAAAACCCTTTCAACTGAGACATTTGAATTTCTGTCTTAACAAATAAAATTATTTTTAGTTAATTAAATATGGAAATTAGCTAAGATCATATTATGAAGATGGCTGTTCACAATTTGTTGTTGACAAGTAGGTTACACAAAAATGTGAAGTACCTTATCTGTCTTACAAGCAAGTAATATTAACTGTAGATCAACTATAAAAAGTAAAAAAAAAATGAAAAATTCAGCTATCACTTATCTCAATCCTAGATTCATATTCTGTTTTTAGACCTTTTTAAATTGAGAAAATATGCTTGAACTTGCAGTATAAAATGTTCATAACAGACAATATACAAAAGTATATTTGTATATGCTCTTTGCATACTTGGCTATGGTTAAGTTTAGATTCTGCGATTCTGTCCCTGGTTCTAACAACCCATGCTGCTTCCCACCACCCTGCTCTGACAGAACCTGAATGTTAACCTAAACACTGTACTTCCTCAGCCTTCCACAGATGGTTGTGCCATTTCCACGTTGCATACGACACTCATGTCAAGTGTCCTTCCAGGGTAGTAGTGAACATGTACTAGCGTGCAGAAAATGACAGACATGGAATGCGGTCTGCCCCGAGGTGTGTGGGTGTGTTGCTCAGTGGCTGTTAAGGGAATCGGAGCCAACTCTGCTTCGACTAGGAGATGGCCACAGGGAAGGGTGTTGCCCATCTCACTGCACCCTTCAGGGATCTTAGAGGTAGCTACCTATGTGTATCACATCCTGTTATTACACAGGTGAATTGTTTCTAACCAGAGTAACTGTTGCATGTATTTAAATTGTTTCAAGTTGTATATATTTTTCCCATAATTTTATTGAAAAACAAATAGCAATAAGACAGTTTCAAAGCAAACTGGTAGGACAGTTTCAATAATTAACACATGCATACATTCTTCCTAGTGGTTAATTGCTGTACAAGATGCAGACATGATATCCTATTTACAAACACTATTAGAACAAATCCCTCTATTCATTAAGAGAATGTAACTATATATCTATTCTAACCATTTTGAATACACAGATAGAAGATGGACATTCATCTGTCAAGTTGTATATTGATGTAAGGAATATTTCACTACTCTGACTAATCTGTTTCTCATTTATACTCTTTTCCTCATTGACTTACCATGCACTTTGGATTCTCCTCTTCTTGCTCTTAACCTCTTTCAACATCTATCAATTTTTTTGAAAATTTCTTTCCTAGCATAGACTTCAATAGTGTCCTTTCATTGTCCTTGGTGGTGTGTTCACCATTCTCAGCAGAACCCTGGAAGTATGTATATCTGCATGGCTCTGTGTGTGTTAGGGGTGGTCAGGGCATTGACACACCAGTACCCGTGCAGTCATACTGTAGGCCTTGTAAGGAAAGGAAAGGAAAGCACATCCTAGATATTCAAGGCAGCCAAAATACATTTATAAAGGTCAGTGACTTATGTGTATTTTTTTATATCAGCTGAGCATGCTACATAATTGGAGCAAAACTTTTCAAAAGTAATTCTCTCAATTTTATCTGGAAGATTCCATAAATGTACTGATAGTATTGCTTTTCTAAGTATATATTTTCTCAAGCTTCTCTCGAAAATTAGGAAACATGTTCTTATTTTCCCCTGCCCTTTTTAAAAACAACTGTAGCCTCTGGGAATTTGAAAGACTGAGAGATTGGGATAATTAATTTATTATTCTCATTGTTTCTTTACTAATCTGTAAATTAGAAACACTAACAATTAATTTACAGATTTCGTGAGAATTACAATGTAATAGAAAGTCAATAAATCCAATTCTTGGCATTATTGAGTGATTCTTCAGTATCTGACACTATGCTAATTACTTTGTATTTATTACAGTATTTAACATTTCCTCTACACATTGTGAAATGATTACTATCATTATCCTGATGATTTTATAACTGGTAATAGAGGTTGAAGTTACTTGTCTAGAGTTAATGCTGTTGCAAGTGGTAGGAGGCAAGAATACCAATGAAAAAGATTTATCTGCATTTAGGGATTAAGCTCTTAAATATATAGGTAAAGTTTCACATATGCAGTTACACACATATATACATAATGCTCAAGATTTACATATTGATCTGTAAAGGAATTTATATTTACTTCATTGTAGCAGTATTTGATGAACATGTTTAATAAAATCATGTTACATGTAATATATTATGATATAAATGAAAAATGAATCAAGAAAACATTCTTTGGATTTTTTTCACAGACTATTCTAACATGCATCCTAATATTTTTCTCACTATAGATATATTGGTTTTTGCATTTAAAAAAATTGTGTCACATTTCTTTTTCATGAGGAAGAATGATGAAGTGGCGCATACAATCTTGAGCCCTTTAAATTATGTTTATGTACAAATCTGTTCTGTTAGAAGTTCAAGAACTGCTGGCAAAGTACTTCCTATTTGTATCTGTTTCTTTGACTGTCTGACTTCTTTTAGCTTCTCTCAGATGGGACCCCATTTTCCCTTAATGCAGAGCCTTGTGGTATATCTGTTGTTGCCCTTCTTGTAAAAGTAGATTCTTATATTTCATTATATTTCATAAATTACAACATGTTAAAAGAAGAGCCTGTCATACTCACCTTGCCATAATGACACATCCTTTATCAATAGAGAGAGAGGTCCTGGGACTCATAGCAACCATTTCATAGAGTTGAATATATCCCTTTAAGCATTGATGATCTTGGTTCTCCATAAATATTTAATTTTATAAATAAATTTGTATTCATAGTTGAGTGCTGTTCTTTCATCAAGGCACTGTCAAATTTCTTTTTTGGTCATAACTTTAGCTTAGAACAGATGCTGATATATTTTAGATAACTACTCTGCTTTCATGTATGAAAGTTACTTAAGATTTATTTATGTACACACTGGGAAATATTCAATACAAAAGTAAACCAAAATAAGGAAAAAAGAAAGGATTCACCTATAATATCATGAAAAGCCAGTATATTTTGGATAGTTAGAATCACTCTATGTACACGATTTTATGTCCGTAGTAGATCTCCATACTTCATAAAAAACATTTCATATGTTTTCAATATTTCATATGTGATTAAAATTTTGTACATTTATTTTTTGGTCTTTAGATCAGGTGTAGTGATGCATATTTATAATCCCAGTGCTGGGGAGGCTGAAACAGGAGTATCACTATGAGTTTGAGCTGCATAGTGAAACCCTGTACAAAATATATAAAATTAAAAATAATAATTATTATGGTGATGATTTGATCCTTATATTTTTTGTCATAGTTAATTTTCTCTCATTTTTGAGATGAAATACCCAGTGCTAAAATTTTTAAAAGTAAAGATTTATTTAGCTCACAGTCTCTGGAGGTTTGAGTCCATAACAAGGTGGCTCTAAAGATGAGAGAGGATGGCAGGGAGCAGGGACAATAGTCAAAGGCGGTAGAAGACAGCAAAAGCAACAAACACAAAAGGGGGTGCAAGTCTACTTCCTCCCTTATACTGTAAACAGAATGCACCACCTCCTCACATGGATGTGGTGCTCTCACCATCTCCTGCCCTCCTCTTGTACAGGCTGAAGTCTTACAAAGTAATGACCCTGGTCCCTTGCTGAGTCACTTAGTTAATCTTCTAAGCTCCTCAAGTTGACACAGTGTGTCAACCATTACAATCCACTTCTTGTCAACTTTGCAACCAGAAACATTGCTTTAACAGGTTTCCAAATATAAATATATGCTCAATCTTATCATTTCACAACTTGAAAATTGTAACAAAGGTTTAGGAGTCTTAAGAACCAGTATTGAGCCAACCAACACCATATCAGAACCATAACATTTCACTCTTATCTCCCCCAAATCTCACACGCATCCCTCTATTCAAGAAGCATCTAGTTCATCTCTAAGAGTTGCCAAAGTCCTAACTGTTTCAGCATTGCTGAAAAGTCCAAGTCCCAAGTCTTATACATGCATAAGGTAAACTTTTAATACAGCAAATGAAAATAAAGTAAACGTTTATAATAGTTAATGGCACAAGATAAACATTTTCACTCCACAAGTTACAAACAGGGGGATACGAAAGCATGGGAACAAAGCAAGTCCAAATTCCTCAGGGTGAACAGTGACTCCTGGAGTTCCCTGTGCAGCACACAAGGTAGATTGTGGCAAACTGTGAGTCCCAAGAAGTGTGGAAGACTCTATCAGTGCAGAACGTGTGTGGTTGTAGCTCCTGTGGCTTTTCTCTTGGGCTGGCTGTGCTCCTTCTGTGTAGCTTTCTTCAGACAACCCACGTTCTTTCCTTTTCCAAACTTCTGGAGTCTCTGCTGCACCTTTAGTTTCACCCTCACAGCTCTGCTCACTGCCTTCTCAGGGGTACAAGGCCTAGCCTGGAGGCCTATTCTTGCTTATATATACCTGATTACTTTAAATAT